CCGCCGTTAAGATCATGGGCGAGGCAGAACAGGTGAAGGAATTTTTTGTCCGACTCGCACCCAAAGTAGCCAAATTTGATTCCCCATTTGAGATTATTAACACTTTGGCCGAGGTTCTGAAAAGCGAGGATCCTGAGATTTTGTCTTTAGATCTTCATGGCCTGGTCGACAAGTATCCAGATGTTACGCAGGATCACTTGATTCATCTGTTAAGTCTGCGCGGCGACATCTCTCGCTCGGAGGCAAGAGAGAGAGTCGCGTACATCATGCAGACCAATAAGACTCGGAAACGGCCGACCAACCCGAAAAGCATATTTTCTCTGATCTCATAGAAGTTTTGCAGAATTTCTTTATCAGATATAGTTTATAATAGACCGCAGGTCGACTTATTACGGCCTGCCGTTACCTATTTTGTGCATCCCTGTATACCAGGAAGATGTTTTTAAGCGATAATTCAGCGTCTGTTTACGATATTAGCCATGAGTAGGTGCATTTGTTTTTCCTTCAAACAGTGGCAACAATTATTGGGCAGTTTTTATCAGTATGATAATCGATAATGTAGTCAATCTGGATAAATGTACATAATTTAGAAGACGGACTGCAGCGTGTGCTACGAGATGAAATGTCCACAGTAGCCACCGCTCGATCATGCGTCTACCTCACCTAAGGTGTGGTAGTTTTTGAAGTGTTTCAGATAACGAGTATAATGCAGGTTGGTGCAGACAGTGTCTGATTTCTATAACTAATTTTAGAGCACGAAGTCAGCTCTGAAATCATTGGTCCAAGAAGAACTAATAAATCTTATGACACAAGTCGTTAGCTCACGGTGTTTCACTTAATTAGTTATTATCAGCTGAATAGTGAAGGCGCAGATTTGTCCTTGCTCCCTCCAGATGCCATCCGATGCACCCCTTCCACGAGTCGTTGAAAAAGCCGCTTAATCGGGTAACCGTCCGGCAGCTTGGAACCCACTCGTGACCAGTGGGCGTAATATCTGAAACAGTGGTTCAGGATATTTGCGTTGCTGTTTCTTAATGTCAGAGTAATTCAACCTCCTCCACAGAACTTGAACCTGTGCACGATCTTGCTTTGGAGAGTTTGACCTTGTCGGCTAACCTGAACTCCTCCTCGAACTGCTCCCGAACGTAGTATCGCGCCCTCGAGATGCTCTCCATCAGGCTGTGGAGCACGAAGAAGTGTTGGTACACGAGGACAGCCTCCAGAGGCTTCAATTTTTGAGGCTGAGATGGGAAGAGAAGCCCCAGGAGTTGGGTCACACTCCGCTTCAAGTGGCACTCCTTGGTGTCATTGAAACATAGAACGTCTTTCATTACGATATAATAATTACTAACTAACATTCTGAAACAGAAGCACAGCTGAACTACAGTAACAAGCAGGACATTTCTCTTCAAATGTAGATCAGAATCAATTTAGCGTCGTCATGAAACTGGAGTGGCAGGCTCTTCTGAGTACAGTAATGAACCTTTGTGTTTCGTAAAGGTGCGGAATTTGCTTCAGTAGATGAGTGACTCAGCTTTTCAAGGAGGAGACTGCTCCGTGGAGTTGCCTATGAAACCCTCAGGTTCAGGGCAGTTAACACAAACCTGTCGTTGATTTTGATAATGAGCCGTTTCTGCGCGTGCGTTGCGCTTTTCCGTTTTAACGTTTACTGATGCTTTCATGCATTAGAACCACAAAATTTCAGAAATGGTTGCTAGGTACTGCTTCGGGTGGCTTGGTGGTTCCTGGCTATCGGACAACACTGCATCGTGACCCACAAAGATTACTGTCGGTTCCTTCACCACTGTGAGAGCCTCGGATGGTAACGGGGGATCGCCGCTGCTTTCGGTCGCTCGGTAGAGGGTTCTTTATTACAGCGCAGCGTGTTTTGAGAGAGTGCCGGGGCGAACAGTGGGATACGTTGCAGAGACACGTACCAGGTTCAGCCCTTCTAGCAGTTTGGACAGCTTGATCGCGGAGTTGTTCCGCAACGTCAGAAGCAGCTCGTACAAGATGGCCGTCGACACGTTCGTCACCTCGGCCAGCGACCTTATCAGCTGAAAGGAACAATCGTGAAGTAGGTAAAATGAACACTGGGTGGAGGTGGACAAAGATTTTATCCAGGCAGACTTCAGATGAGACCATTACTAACTCAGTTTTAGGCTCCTTTTTTATGTAAGGTAACAACAGGCAACAGACTTTTGATTTGAAGCTTTCATGGCAACTGTCAGGTACATCAAGTGGTCGAAGGAAACTAACATTTCTGGAGCCGTCTCTGTCCGTGTTTGATCCCTGATGAGGATTTTATTAGACCAATAGACTTGCACAAAGTGTGGGGGATTTAGAAAGAGGTAAGCTCGTAAACAACGTCTGCAGATTTTGTTTGAAATGTGTGTTCTGTTTTCTCGGATGCCTGTGTGAACTTTCAAAGTTAAGTTTGCGAGTTTTGATGCTCTGAAACGTGTCTTTAATTAGATCACGGCTTATGCGAGCCTGCCTGCGTGTCACCTCGGCCTCTGGAAGGTTGCTCCGGCCTGAAGAGCCAAATTCGTGGAAGTCCTCGAGCATCCTGGAACAAGCGTTGCGGTACGCGTGGGGGATGCTGGGAGGGGTGACGAGCAGCGCCAGCAGCTCCTGCAACGCGCTTCCGCCGTCGAACTGGAGCATCTGCAACAGACAGCATAGGCACGGGGCGGCCTTGGCCCGCATCAACTGAGGAGACCCACGAGACGTCTGCTGGCCGATATTCAGACCAGGTACCTCCAAAACACTGTACATTGTCGATTTAACGTACTCATTGCCGCGGTCGTGGTAAATTCCACTCATTAGGAGACTTGATTTGTTTTTGCACCCAGCGCAATAACAATAACCTTTAATGCCATTTTTACAATTCCTTTCGGGTAAGAGTGATATATGGCTGCAGTTACTTTGAGCCAGTAATTGACAGATTACTGGCTCCGGAGAGCCATGGAAGAAGAAGAAGAATTTACAGATTGCAGTCGTCGAAGCCGCGTGACCACAAAAGCGCTGGACGTGCCTGGATCTTGTTGCTGATGCAATTGCTGTCCTGCAGGGTTGCCAACAGAATGTCTAGCAGCAGCGCAGCCAGCTCCAGCTCCTCGATCCGGGCGGGCAGAACGCGCCGTTGGTCGATGGCCTCCGGCGTGTTGGCAGGGTCCAGCAGGAGCGGCCGCAGCCTCTGGGTGAGGAAGTGGAACAGCGTCCGATCCTGTGGTAAAGTAGCGTTCAATATTTTTTAATTAACGTGCGCGTTGCCTGCTCACATATGAACACGGTTTCTTTCGTGTTGTATCTGCTCCCAAAAAGTTTTGTGCGCTTAATTGCTGTCGTTGCGTTACTGGAAGCTGACCCTGTGAGTGTCTGTTGATATCTGCAGAGGAGGCGTTGGCGTGAAATTCCCTTATCAAATTAGGATAATAAAATCAGGGAGGATGAAGTGGGCAGAATACCAGAAAATACGGTGGAAAGATGCGTCTTCGGAGACGCGATAGGGACGCATGGCGGGTTCTTTTGAACGTGGAAACAAAACTTTGGGTTCTGTAGTGGTGGGTAATTTATAGACTGGCTAAACGCCTATCGGCTTCTCAGGAAGGACCGCGGTCTAAGGAATTGGATTTACTTCCTGCGTGCTAGTTATAGCAGGGACCACTTGCCTTCCAGAAGGCCTTCTTGAGGTCTGGATGTCGCTGCAGGTTCTGCAGCAGAGCAGGGCTGTGGCCGGCGTCGTCGAGCGGGCCCAGTAGCTGCCGCTTGTAGCGCCGATACTCGGTCTCAATACCGCGGTCTCCCGTCTTGCCCACCCTCCGACTGCCCGCAAGCTCCAGCGTTGAGCTCTGCGGTCATTACGACAGCGATGAAACGATCCGTTTGGGAGATCTAGACTTCGATGGACGAAGTTTTGTAACAGCAAATAATTTGTTGATAATTATCTGGTCTTGAAGCAAGACCTGCGCCCATGCCAGACTCACCAGAAGCTCAGTGCTCCAGCTGCACTGTAGATGGTTCAGTAGGGCAGAGCCCACCTGAATAATATACAGGCGGATGTCGGTCTCCCGTACGGAGCCGGACTGCCGCGCCACCTCGACGTCATGCGACCTGCGAGGGCTGCAAACACACAGTGCGGGTCTCCTTAGCTTTCGAAAGGGGCGTCGGGTCATGTTCGTATCTTGAAAAGAGTCGTTAAATTATGAGCTCGTGCTTAAATATTTTAGGGTTGAGTTGGCCGTAAGAAACGAATGAAGAGGAGAGTGCAGGTTGGAGGGGGAGGCTGGGCTTTCTTATTTGTTGGTATTTTCTTTCGTAAAGATTTCTGCCACTGGGCAGATATTTGGGCCCAGAACATGTGCACCTGAATAGTACGTTGCAAGTATTTGTGGTCTGTAAGTTTTAAGAGAGTTCTTTCGGAACACCCGGTGGTTATAATTGGTGTAGAAACGTCTCCAAGTATGCATGGACTTGTTTTGGACAAGCCTGTGACAGAGTTTGATAATAAATGCCTGTTGTAGGTCAAGTTTCTTAACAGTCGGAGTGCCAGCTCCCCTGTTTGGGGGATGTGAAAGAATTGCTGTAGAATGAGTCATTTGTTTTCGGTCACCTTGTAGGAAGTAACATGTGGTGTGTCTGTTTACGAGTTGCCATGTCAACAGGAAGAACGTGTCAATGTCGTGTGTGATCAATAGTCACTGCACAGCTAAGTGTTCTAATAGCAAGGGATTTCTGGCGCTGGGGTCAAGAAACACGTGTTTGCAGTCGGCTCTGACCGATAAGCTGCGTGTAGGTGATGAAGTCTGCTTTGATGTTTGACAGAAATTGGGGAGTCCGAGTCGCACCGTGTTTTGTACGAAGTCATGGCTCGCTGTTTTTCAGAAAATCGTCCATAAATGTAGACGAAACAACCAGCACCGTGGATTACGAGCTCCTTGGAAGCCAAATCTACGCCCCAAACTGATTAATTAAAGTCGTCTTCCTTTCGTCTAGAGTATAACATTTTTAAAAGTTAAAAAGATCCTGACACGCGACGGGATTGTCCGTAGTTTTAAAACGCGAAACATTGGCGTAGGAACCAAAGCGTAAATGTTTGCGCGAGACAAATCTGGGAGCGACCGACGGAGGTACTGACCGCGACTTCTCAAGCGAACTGTACGCGCGCCTCGGCTCTGGTACAGACGAGCTCTGCGCCAAGGAACTGCGGGACCTCGGGATGTGGGGCCGGGCCGTCCCCACGCGCTGCAGCAGCGTCCTTATATCGGACGATTTCCGGGTCTTCCTGTCGTCTGCACCTGCAAAACTTTGAGACTTTAAGCGCCACTCACGAGTTCTTCCGGCCTCTGACGGCGTCTGGCAGTATCCCACCCGGATGTGCTGGCACGTCGCCCTCGGGAACTCGTGGCAACTGTTCTCCTGAAACACAGGCGCGGGGAGGATGGTCAGAGGGACGTCCTGCCGAGAAATTGACGACTTTTATGAACTGCGACCTGAGTTTCGCGCCTCGTCCAACCCAGTTCGCTTTCTGTCTGCCGATGTCATCGAGGCTACCAGCACGGGGCACTCCCTCCCGTATCGTAGCAACCGAGGTCTGTGACGTCAGACTTGGTTTTGGTAGTCCTCGTGGAGGGGAGACGTCCGATGGGGCCCTTTGCAGTTAACGCGGCGTTCTCTACGAGGTCCGGCCCGAACATGCATTCAGTCTGTGTGAAAATTCGACGTAACAACGGATAGGAAAGGAGACGCCGCTAAGGTCAGGGGTGGTCGATAGCGAGTGTCGGTGAAATTCTAAAAATATCCGGAGTTCGCGTGAGTTGCGGGTCCCGTGTGCACACCCCAACGTTCCTGACGCTGGTCGAAACAAGTTAGGATTGTACGCACGGCGTAACAGCCGTGTCGTATCCGCCAGGATCAGTCTTTTCTTGGGGCGAGGTCTTGACGGGTCTTTCGCTCGATGTAAAGACAACTTTCCGGGTTCCGTTTGGTCAGACTTCGAGCCGGAGCTCCACTCACCACTCTGATGCTGGTGACATCTGACAGTCGCGCTGCCTCTCGCACGTCGCGTGGCGGGTGGTCGGCCAGCAGGAGGGACTTCCCCGTGACAACCGCGTACTTAAAGCAGAGATCTTCCTTGCCGACGCGAACCATGCAGCCCTCATAATACCTGAAACAGCGAGAAGCCGGAAGTCAAGGCGGTGTTGGTTTGTTCATATGACGTCTGCCCTGACGATGGAAGCAGAGGCCGCCTCCGAAACGTGTGATTGTGCGTTTCAAATGCCACCGCGACATGATCCGGCTGTAGGCCACGTTTACCGAATGGGTTAAACTGGCTTTGCGCGGCACAGCCCTCCTCCTCAAGCTGATGGTCGTTCAGCTGGTCAGACGAGATATAATTTTAATAATCCGTTGATAAACGTAATTAGTCTGCCGTCTGAAGTGAAATCTTTCAGAAGTAATTCCGTGCCTCGTCCCGCCCCTTACCTGATGTCCGCGAACACGCGTCCGGGTAGCGCCCGCTTCAGGAAGCTCTCGAGCCGACTGAACCTGTGGTCCATGTTCACTCTCCGACGGCCAGCGACGCACTGCGCCGCCCGTCGGCCGTCAGTTGCTCCGGGCGGCGACGCGACTGCTAGCGGGCGGTTCCGGCCCGGATGCGCCGTGGTTTTACCCAGTGGAAAGCAATGAGGCAGATGAACCTCTTCTTCGTTGATGGCAGAATATTATTAAAGTCGATATTACAGAAATGGTGTTGGATGATGATGAGTGGATTTTTCTGGCTCAGGATACGACCAATGAACCTTCGTGTTTCATAAAGGAGACCGTCAGCTTCTCCGGAGGGCCTGTGCCCTATGGCGTTAGGCTTGCGAAGTGAGCATTCCAATCACGTAATAACGCGGAACTTCGTTCGACCTTTTCTCTAATTGTTTCTGGTCGTGCTCCTAAATCGCGGTCATTCAGTTGATGATCGTGCGACCTCGGGCCCAGTCGTGCAGTTCCGGAGCGCAGATCAACGGCCTTCTGGGTTGGGTCGGTCAGGGAGCCGGTGAGGCGCGGCCAGGTATGTTCCTGGAGCGACCAGTCAGCGCGAAACTCCAGCAGCCGTCGATTGGAGCTCGTAATCTGATAACTTGCGTTCCAGAAGTACGATCAATCCCCCCCTCCCCCTTTTTTTGATCTCACAGATTGACGGAATTGTTGTTTCGAGTGGACGGATTTGTCGAAGTTCCAGTCGAGCTGTCATTTGCGCCAACTGAACTAGAACGGCCAAGTATCTCGTTTCTTAAGGAACCATTTTGATGACGTAATTCTCTAAACTTCACGTTTGCCCCTCGATCTCGTAATAACGCGTCGTTTTGTCTGAACCCGAATTTGTTCAGTGGCAGTTTTGCTACTTAAACGAGGTGCAGAACCGTCGAGGCGCTGGACGGTGATCGCGCGGAAAACAGGTTCTGTGTGAGTCGAACAGGTTTGTTACGGTGCAGGGCGCGAGGACAGCAACTGGCAGCTTGACAGGTGAGTGCC